CTCAGCGCCCAGCCACACGGGCGAGGCGCAGACTCCCAGCCCCGCCCTGGGTGTGGACAGTGCGAGCCCCCTGAGCACCACTGGACAGTCTGTAAATGTGGTAATCGCAGCAAGACATCGACAAGTTAGCGAAGTACTTACGTTCCACTTATTCTTTAAAAACTATCCAACTCAATCTGAATGCAGAGGAAATCAGAGAGAGAGGGAAAGTGAGGTTAGAACGGTCAGCAGGCCCCACCCTGGGACACCGGTGGGGACCCAGGCGCCCAAACCACGTGGCCACAGGGCCGCTCCCTGGAAGCTCAGCGTGCGGGGCTCCCAGCTCCGGAGCGGCCGCTGGGGTGGAGCTGGCAGTCTCCAGCCCTCGCCTCCCTCAGGGCCAGGGCCTTCCTGCCCCGTCTCCCCCGCTCTCCCATTGTCTGAGGAGAGCAGTGGGTCAGAGCTGATTCTTTTATGTATTTATTTATTTATTTATTTTTAAATATATTTTATTGATTTTTTACAGAGAAGAAGGGAGAGAGATAGCTAGAAACGTCGATGAGAGAGAAACATCGACCAGCTGTCTCTTGCACACCCCCTACCAGGGATGTGCCCACAACCGATGTACATGCCCCTGACCGGAATTGAACCTGGGACCCTTCAGTCCGCAGACGGACGCTCTACCACTGAGCCAAACCAGTCTCGGCAGAGCTGATTCTTTTATATTTTTTTATATTTTATTGACGTTTCACAGAGAGAAAGAGAGAGGGATAGAGAATTAGGGATAGAGAGAAACATTGACCAGCTGCCTCCTGCACACCCCCCACCGGGTATGTGCCCGAAACCAATGTACATGCGCTTGACCGGAATCGAACCTGGGACCCTTCAGTCCGCAGACCGACGCTCTACCACTGAGCCAAACCGGTTACGGCTGGAGCTGATTCTTTTTGACAAAACCAGAGCCTGGGAGCCATGGTCTCTCCCTGAGGAGGCGACACCATCCTGGAGGTTGGGGGCCCGAGAGCCTGAATGGAGGGGATGTGATGAGAGCCACTCAGTGCTTGGCCATCCCCCAGGGGCCGCCCGGCAGCAAGTCCTCAGGGGCCTGTGCACATGGTCCACTCTGACCCCGAGGCCAGTGGCCAGCGAGCTAGCCACCTCCCATTCCTGTGCCCAGGGCCCTGCCAGCACCCCCTGGAGGGCACTCAGAGCACAGGGCTGCGTGCACCCTGGACCCCCATGTGGACCCCACACACTCCCTGCAGGCCCCGGAGCCCAGAGGCCAGAGGTCGCAGCCCCGCAGGAAGGGAAGGCTCTCGGGTCTCCAGTGCCCTGGCTGCACTGCTCACCGCCTCGGAGTGTCTTGAGCCCGTCACCAAGCTGCCTGGGACCCGCTGAGAGCACACCTAGGTCCGAGCTCCTGGGCCTGAGCCCACCTGTGAGGGTGCGGCGGGGGACCTCCTGGGGGTGACGCTGCTATGGCAGGAGGCCTCTAGGGACCGGGTCACCCCTCTGCCATTAGGAATGTGGATCATCACTCCGGAGACGAGAGCGCTTCTGGGAGAGCCACCCCATCAGGCTCGCTCAGCACCAAGGCCAGCAAGGTGGTGGGACACCCACCCACCCAGCCAGCAAGGTGGTGGGACACCCTACCCTGTGGACGGCTGACTCGCCAACTCATGAGCCAACTACCCCCACAGCTCAGCCTGGGCCTTCCAGGAGCCCCAGCACACACACCACCTCCACCAGAGCTTGGGGACCAGGAAGTCCCCTCATGAGCCCCGCCCTCCTGCTGCCTCTGACTGTGTGGCTAAAGGCTCCGATGCTGACACCGTGGTCAATACATAGAGGGCCTCCACACCTGCATGTAAAATGCTACCTAACGTGTGTGTGTGAGATGTACATAGTGTGTGTAGTGTATGTATGCATGGCATGCACACATGTACACAACACACGTGTATGTGGGATGAAACAATGTATGTGATGTGTGCAGTGTGTGTGTGATATGTGAGTGTATTGTATATTTGTGTGGCATGTGTGAAAGTCTATGGTGCATGTTTGTGGTATATGTGTGACGTGTGTAGTATGTGTGGTGTGTGTGGCATATGCAGTGTTTATGGCATGTGTGGGTTGTGTGCAGTATCTGTGGCATGTGTATGTGTATGGGGTGTGTGTGAGAGATGTGTGCAGTGTTTATGGCGTGTGTATGATGTGTGTAGTATGCGTGGCGTGTATATGTGTGGAATATGCATAAGAGATGTGTGCAGTGTTTATGGCGCACACGTGTGTGGTGTGTGCAGCATGTGTGGCTTGTGTATATGAGATGCGTACAATGTTTATTGCATGCGTGTGTATGGTGTGTAGGGTGTGTGTGTGTGTGTGTGTGTGTGTGAGAGAGATGTGTGGTTTGATCCTGAATGAACCTAATGAGCACCCCCTCCAGGTGGACAGGACGTGGCCAGCTCCCGGGTAGGCGGTCTATCCAGGATGCCGTGCCTCAGGTGTGGCGCCTCTGAGCGAACAGTGCTCCACTGGAGCACAGGGAGCGGGGCCTCGGCTCCTGGTCATGGTGCCCGGTGCCACCCCTCAGCTCCTACCGCTGTGCACCACGGCCCCCAGGTCCTGCCCAGGAGGGGCTGGCAGGGTGGGAGCTGCTCCCAGACCCCTCGACAGCCCGAGCCCAGTGCGGGACGGCCCGCGGGAGCGAGGGCTGCCTGGGTGAGCCTCACTCTCCGCGTCGGCTGTCTGGGGGCCATTCCCTCCCTCGGCCCCAGCCCTTCCCTAGCTCTGCACTAAGCTCCCAACACGCACGTCTGAAACACCAGAGGGCTTCTGTTCCGAGCTGTCTCGCAATCTGCGCTCCCAGGCCCCCTCCCCTCCTCGCCCAGAGGCTGTGCACGACCACGTGTGTGCACACCAGCAAACAGGTGACACGCCGAGTGCTCGCCCGTGGAAGTGCGCGGCTCCATGCTCACCTGTGTCTGTCCTCCCAGGTCACCGTCTTCCCCTTCCCCCTGCGCCTGTGGGGACGGGCCGAGGGCGGGAGCGGTTCCCGCAGCCTCCAGGGAGTCGCTGCGGGAGCGGCCGGGGCAGCTCGCAGGCCTGGCCTCTCACGGGGCAGACGGGGTCACGTGGACCCCCCGTGGTCTGGCTCCACCACCTCTGGCTCTCAGGCGACTTCCCCTGCCCACCTCCTGGCCTGCGCAGAGCGCCAGCGGCCATGGGCTGGCCCCGAGCAGAGGGAGGGTACGCCAAGGCTTGGGTGCCCACCCAGCGGGACACAGGCGGCAGCCTGACATTCTTAGTGGCTTCATGTTTATTTACAATCTCACAAACTGAATGGCCGGCCGGTGTGGCTCAATGGACTAAGAGTCCACCTAAGCACCATGAGGGCCCGGTTCGATTCCCAGTCAGGGCCCATGCTCGTGGTGGGCTCGATCCCAACCAGGGGGCGTGGAGGCAGCTGACTGATGCTCCTCTCATATCGATGTTTCTCTCTCCCTTTCTCGCTCTATAAAACCAATAAAAACATATTTTTTTTTAATCTAAAAACTAAACAAACCAGGCTTTGTTTCATCCCTCCTCTCAGCCTGTGACAACTCTTCTCTGTGGCTATTCAGACGCCCACACATGGGAGACCGGGCTGCTAGGCACTACCCAGACCTGGGACCTGCTCCAGGGTGGCGAGCTGTGCCCACCCAATGCTGCCTGTGAGCCTCCCGGTTCGAGGGCGCCCGCTGGGCCGTCTTTCCCACCTGTGAACATCATCAAGCAAGTCGCTGACACAATCCCCACTCCAGAGGCCCGGAGCTTAATTCCTAAAATACCTGCATGCTTCACACTCACATGCCTTCAGACACAGAAGCGACCCCCAGACCAGATGTCAGCCGACATGCCGAGGAAGTCTGGCAGCGAGCGGCACTGACTAGTCAGGGCACCGATCGCCGCTCTCTCAGATTTTGTCAGACAGAAAATGACAACCATCGGTGGGAATGATCACAATCACACCTGTCTTTTTCTTTTTTTTGTCCAAGTGGGAAAAGTATTTTATAGTGGCACAGAACTTCAGTCATTAGTTTTACGTATGAGATGGAAAAGGCTGACCATCGCTGCCACAGACCAGTTTGGCTGATGCACAGCCACCCCCTCTCCGGGCGGCTCCCGGGCCAGCGGGCAGAGCGAGCCGGGGTGGCAGAACCCTGGCGCGGGCCTCGCGCAGCTGACCCGCCGTCTCTGTGGAGAAGCCGGCTGGCCGCCCGGCTGTCCAGAGGCACAGCTACATGCTGACCGTGAGGCTCACCGAGGCTGCTCGCCGGGGCTGCTGGGAGGTGCAGCTGGAGGGCCCCTCCCCCCCTCCCCCCTGGCGGGCACCCGCTCACCTGTGGCCTGGCAGAAGAGGTGGAAGGTGCCCATGGCGGGCACGCGCTGGGCCTGGTCGCTGAGGAGGGGCGGCAGCAAGGTGACCCGCGGGCGGCCGTCGGGCCCAGAGCCCGAGGCCGGCCAGGGGCTTCGGGGGGAGGAAGATGAGCCGGGGCCCAGACAGGACAGGGAGGACCCCGGAGGAGGGGAGGGCATAGGAGACGAGGCTGCGAGACAGAGGACAGAAAAGAGAGGGCGCTGAGGCAGGCGTCGTCACGAGCAGCACCGCATGCAGAGACGGGAAACACGGTTAGAAAAGACGCGCCCACGGGGTCCTGCCCGCCAGGCTGCTCCAGGAGGGGCCGGGAGACCCACCCTGCGCCCGCACGGCCTCAGCAAATCACGTGCCCACAGCAGGTATAAGCTTCTCATTTATTCGGTTACTTTTCAAGTGTACACAATTCAAAGTAGAAAAATAAAAACAAAGTAAATCTTATAAAACACAAATGTTTACACCAACACAGTGGAACCCTATCGCACTGTCCGCACGGGACACGGACATCCAGTTACTGCTCTCGGCCACAGAAACATCGCCTCTCGTGGGCGTGTGGACGGCATGACCACGAGGTCCGTGCTGTTAAACCGCCCGCCCGCCCGCCCGCCCAGCACGTGGACGCGCCCGCCCTCCCCGCTCTCTCAGGCCGTGGATGCTCAGGTCGGCCACGTGGAAAGGCTGGTGCGAGGGGGGTGTGGAATGGAAGCCAAAGGAAATGCCGTTCGGATGATCGGACTCCACGGGACAGGAGGCTGTGGCCAGGGGCCGTGAAACACTCGGCCCCGTGCTGCGGGCCAGCCCGGCTCTCCCGGGGGCCACCGCCCTCGCTCAAAACCCTGCGGGGGCCACGGGGCAATCCTCCGCGCCTGCTCCCCTTCAAGACTTAAAACGAGAAAAACGGAACAGAAAGAAACTCCGCCAAAGGACGCCCCCCGTGAGGAATGTTTAAAAAGTCACTGTGCTCAGGAGGCGGCCTTGTCTGCGTTTCAAAAAGCAGCGAGAACGCTTTTAGCAAAAGTAAGTTTATCCCTGAGAATCTCCAGCAACGGAAGCCACAGCCTACCCTAACATACAACAAAACCAGAAGATGCGCATCCTCTAAATATTGAGACATCTGCTTTAGCGACTTAAAAAGTAAATGACCCAACACTTCAACTCAAAGCAAAACCCAACAACAGTCACGTCGAAGAAGAGCTTCGTGCCGACCCGGACAACAGGCGACCCCGGCCCCTCGCCAACCACACCCTTCCCCCCCTCCGGACGGCCGCTCAGGGCTGCTTTCCCAGGTGACGCTGGGTGCGGCCCGGCCCCGCCCCGCCCGCGGGCACGTCTCAGGCCCCCCAACTGACCAGGAGGCCCCGGGACGCCCGCCGCTTTCCGAAAGCACAGAGAGAAACCAGGTCACGAGTTCACCCCACGAGAAAAGACACAAGACCGAGGGTGGCCGAGGACGGCTGCCGGCGGCGCCGGACACAGGACCCCGCGGCAGCTCAGTCCGCGTCCGCGTCCGAGTCGGCGAACTTCAGCTCGCACTTGACGTCGAAGGGCTTGTCCCTGCCCGGGAGCTCGTCGATCCTCTGCGAGTCCTCCCTGTCGGTGGGCGCCCTGCTGGCCGTGGTGTCCTGCTCGGTCTCGTAGCCGGTGTCGGGCGCCGGCCGGGGCTGCCCCCCGTTCTGCTGGGAGAAGCTGCCCGGCTCCACCAGCGTCTCCTTCACGCTCTGCTCGCAGTCGGCGAAGTCGGGGGCCGGCTGCTTCTTGCCCAGCAGCGCGGAGCGCACCCCGAGGCAGCGGCCCGGCAGGAAGCCGTTGTAGCAGTTGTAGGCGAGGAGGCCGAGGCAGAGCAGGAAGCAGAGCAGGAAGAGGGACAGGAGGAGGCGGTCGTTGCCGGCCTGGAGGTACAGGGTCTTCTCCGACTGCACCTGGGGCACAGTGTGGATGACGACCTTCGGCTCGCAGGACGTGCCGGTGGGCGCCGGGCCGGAGGGCGTGGCGAGCCGCCCGGCCGGGGTCTGGGGAGAGGAGCCTCGGACGGACCCCACGGACTCGTCAGGGGGGATCCCGGCACCTTCCGTGCTGGGGGCCGGCGAGGAGGAGGCCCCCGGAGCCCGGGGCACCGTCCTGACCTCCAGCACGTGCCTGGCCGTCACCCGCGAGACCGTCTTGTTCCTGACCCTCTCCTCCGACAGGCACTGGTACGCCCCGCTGTCCCCTTCCGACAGGTTGAAGATGAGCAGGGTCCCGCCCACCAGGCCGTACTTGGGGCCCTCGGCCCTGAGCACGTCGCTCCGGAACCTCCACACCACCCGCGCCAGGTTGGACTTCGGGGAGCATGTGAGCTCTGCGGTGCCGCCAGGCTGGGAAAAATGCTGCCGGGAGCTTTCCTTACTTTTATCTGGAACATCAAAATAAACGTGCACCGCGTCAGCAACCCGCTCCCACGGCTCCTCTTCCAAACAGCCAGCACGCACAGAGGACACGAGAGTCCCACCCACAGGAGGACGTGGACGCTTCCAGACGGAGGAGATGAAGACATGCATGAGCAGAAAGCAAAGGGCAGCCCCGGGGCAGCCCCGGCGGAGGCAGAGGCTCCTCTGGCAGCAGAGACCCTCTCGCACCCTGGCTTCCCGGGAGGACGCGGGCGGGTGGGGGGAGGCGAGGGGGCGCCTGAGCGCGGGCCGGCCACCGCACACCGCAGCCTGGCACGCCTCCTCCCAACCTGCCTTCCGGGCCGCAGCCGGGCTGCCCACGGGAACGCCCCCGCCTGGCCATGGCGGCTGGAGGACCCATCCTCCCCCTGTGCAGACAGCGCCTCCGGGACTCACACCCTCTGGGCCGCACCCACCCTCCCCCAACAGGAGGTCCAGAGACGGCCACGGGTCTGCCAGAAAAGGAGGATGCACAGACGCCACAGCCCAAAGCACCGTGAGATGGTTACGAGAAGCCATTCCCGAGGAGCAGAGAGAACGAGCAACTCACCGGGGCACGCGGACACCTCGCCGCCCATGTCCTGGATCAGGGCCCTGCAAGACAAGGGCGGAGTGGGCGCGGGCCCCGGCGGTGGGCGCCCTGCACGCGCCTCCCCTCGCCGTACCTGCCCGGGCTCTCGGTCTGGTGCAGGGCCACGCAGGCCGCCGGGGCTGGGCTCCAGGCGCAGTAGGGGTCCCGGGCCAGCACGCAGTCCTCACAGGTGCTGTGCTTCCCGCAGAAGGCCACGGGGGCCTGCACCACGCCCGAGTTGGAGCCGGCGTAGATGAAGCGTCTGCCCTGTGGGTGCAAACGGATGAGGACGGCGGGCCGGAGCCAGCGCCCGGGGGGCCACGGCACCTCCTCCAGCCTCAGGGACCCGCGACCAGTGCTTCCTGGAGGAGGAGCCCCTCGCCCAGTGACCTGCGTGCAGGCGTGACAGCGCAAGCAAGCGCCCGGTTCGAGCAGAACCTGCCAACGCAGAGCACACGCCTCAGCCGAGAGCCCCCCTCACATCCAGGTACCACTGTCACCCCACCACCAGCAGGGCGCATCTCTCGCCCGTCAGCGCCCCCGGGAGAGCCCAGCCGGCCACATCAGGCTCCCTACAGGCCCGAGACCACGGGGCACAACCTCAGACCCATGAGCACAGGACTGACCCGTAGCCACCCACATCTGCCCCGCCCTTCCCCCAGCTACGGATCAGCGTCCCAGCGCCCGGAGGCCTTGGTTTCAGACACAGGCCTGGGCCCCTGAACAACACTGAGGAGCAGAGCAGAGCCAGTTCCCACGCCTGTGTGCACTGGGTGACTACAGACGCTCACCACATGGAGGTCCCCCGGGGGCCAGCCCTGCCTGAGCAGCATGTGGCTGCCAGGATGGCTTCTGGGTCTCCTTTCACCAAGGCCAGCGGCCCCGTTTGGAGCGGAAGGGGAGTGGGCGCAGTGGCCTGGCCACGAGCTGGCCGGAGACTCCCACCAGGTGCCAGGCAGAGCGAATCACAGAGGGCTGGACAGGGAGGGCCGCTGGGGGGGTGCTGGGGTGCAGTCACACCGAGTGCTGGCCACAGAGCAGGAAGGAGACGGCACAAGTGAGCATGTACCTGCAGCCAGGGGGACAGGACACACGGCTGCCCCGTTTCCAGCATTAACCCTGGGGTCACCGTGTGGGGATACCCACAGAAGTGAGGTCCTCGGCCAGAGGCACAGTGTGGGGCTAGGCCAGGCTGCTCTACATACGTCTGCTGTCCCCATTGTGCACACGAGGGAACCGAGGCAGGACGGGCCGGCTCAGGCTCACAGTCAGGCGCCTGGGGCTGGGGCTGGGCTTGGACCGGGCGACCGGGGGCTTGGCCCCCTCTGTGCTGCCCACAGCTGCCCACAGCCCCACTCCAGCCATGAGGTGGGCACACCGCCCGCCACTGCGGGGGACACCAGAGCAAGCCCTGCCCCGGCTGCTACTGCTCAGCCTGACTGCTCATAACTGGCTTTGCTTTTGTAATTGGCTGAAGGAAACTCAAAGGAAAGGGAAATGCCACGACCTGCAAGCTCCGTGCCCAGCACCGGGCTCTGCAGGAGCTCACGCCGGCTCGCGATGGCCACATGCCGGGCACGGCAGGACGGAGCCGCGCCCGGAGCCGCACAGCCCTGACCCTCTCCGGGAGAGGCCTGCTGACCGGACGCAGGGTCCGTGCCGTGGGGGCGGGGCGGTACTGCGGGTCTCCCGCACGCTCCCACACGGAAGTGTTTTTGCTGCAGCCAGCAAGCACCGCATACGCATCCTGTGGTGCCCCAACCACCCAGCAAGGCTCTGCCAGCTTTCAGGAGAAGTTAATCTCCCCAGACTGCCCGCTCTGTCCCGACCCTACGGAGCAGAGGACTGTGAGGGCCCAAGGTGGCTCCTCTGGGCGAGGTGGACAAAGGGCCTCTGGCCCAGTCCAGGGACCCGAGACGCGAGGTCACTGCCCCCCAACAGCCCGGGGACCCCGAGACACATGGTCACTGCCCCCCAACAGCCCGGGACCCCGAGACGCGAGGTCACTGCCCCCCAACAGCCCGGGGACCCCGAGACACGAGGTCACTGCCCCCCAACAGCCCAGGGACCCCAAGATGCGAGGTCACTGCCCCCCAATAGCCCAGGGACCCCGAGACACGTGGTCACTGCCCCCCAACAGCCGAGGACCCCGAGAGACGAGGTCACTGCCCCCCAACAGCCCAGGGACCCCGAGACGCGAGGTCACTGCCCCCCAACAGCCCAGGGACCCCGAGAGACGAGGTCACTGCCCCCCAACAGCCCGGGGACCCCGAGAGACGAGGTCACTGCCCCCCAACAGCCCAGGGACCCCGAGATGCGAGGTCACTGCCCTCCAACAGCCCAGGGACCCTGAGACACGAGGTCACTGCCCCCCAACAGCCGAGGACCCCGAGACGCGAGGTCACTGCCCCCCAATAGCCGAGGACCCCGAGACGCGAGGCTGCCCCCGCCCCGCAGTCCCGTCACCTTCAGGGCGGACAGCAGCAGGGTCTGCACTGGCTCTCGGTCTGGGAAGAGCTGAGTCTCCTCGATGATATGGACGTCGCCCTCCAGGCTGATGGCCTTGTGCAGGGCGCCCCGGTCTGCAAGGTCGGAGCCCCGGTCAGTGACAACACCCCCTCCGCCTCTCTGCTCCTCCCTTAGCCAGGCCGGCGCCTTTGCATTAGAAACGGAGAAGGAAAAGCCACGGCAGGATGAACCACAGGAACCAGTGGGACCGCTTAGTCCCAGTGTTTTATGAATAAACTAGGGGCTCATTGTTGATGCCAGCACCCTTACCAGCACGGCCCTCACGGTGCCATCCGACCAGCCTGCCGCGGTTTCCAGGCCCGCCCACCCTCTGGGCGCCGTCCTGCACGGCGGCCCCTTCCCGCTGCTCAGAGGCATGACGGGAAGCACCCAGGCCGCAGCACCTGCCTCCCAGTCCGACACCGTTTCCCAGGCCCGGCCTCGGGAGCAGTGCCCCTGCGGGTCAGGACAGGCGGGGGGAGATGCCCGCTCTCACCCCGCTCCGTGGCTCCAGCCCAGACTTACTTACCAGCCCTGATTTCCAGGTCCGGGCCAGGACCTGCGTTTCTCACCGGGGCCCAGGGGGTCTGAGGTCAGGGACCTGAAGCCCCGGTGGCAACTTCTCAGAGGGGCACACTGCCCAGGGCACCTGGGCACAGGGCAGCGGGACTCACCCGGCGTGACGGGCCCCACCCACCTGTGCTGACGAACATGACGTCGTAGGCAGTCCCGTCCAGGGCCCGGGTCCTGTCCACCACGATCTGGGTGTAGTTCACCCCGCTTTTGACCAGCCTGGGCCCGCTGCCCGTCGGGGTCACAGAGTCGTCCATCAGAGGGTGGTCTTTGACGAACTGCAGCGTCTTGTCGGGCAGGCTGAGCGAGCTGGAGAAGTTGGCGGCCCGCGCCTCGCGGTCGATGCACTGCGGGGAGCAGACCGGCGTCACCGCGGCGCACAGGCCGGCCCGGGAGGTGCAGAACTAGGACCTCCTCAGCGAGTTCTTAAAAAGGGAACCAAGGTGGCCCGTGCCTGAATCTGAACTCAGCTGTGGCGTGCAGAGTGCAACTCTTTTTACCCACAAGACACAATTACGTTTCACGATACATAACCAGGGAGGCAATCTACCTATTTGTCAAGGAAAGAAGGACCAAGGTTTTGAAGTTAGAAGAGAAACACTTGTTATGTGACAGCTCTCCCGTCAGAAGAGCAGACTGGTGAGAGACGTGCTAACATGGTCCACGACAGGCGTGTCCAGCCCCTGGTGTGCACAGGCCAAGACCGGGGCCCCCAGTGAGCGTGCTTTACCGAACAAGGTGCTGAGGACACAGCATCTGGTGTCAGGGGGAAGGCAGTCCTCGGGGCCACAGCTCAGGCACCCCCACGCCGGGCACCCCCACGTCTGGCAGCCCCACGCCCGGGCACCCCCATTCCCGGCACCCCCACGCCCGGGCACCTCCACGCCCGGGCACCCCCATGCCCGGCAGCCCCACGCCCGGGCACCCCCACGCCCGGGCACCCCCACGCCCGGGCACCCCCACGCCCGGGCACCCCCACGCCCGGGCACCCCCACGCCCGGCAGCCCCACGCCCGGGCACCCCCACGCCCGGCAGCCCCACGCCCGGGCAGCTTCACGCCCGGGCAGCTCCACTCCGGGACACAGGACAGACGGACACTACTGAATCCACCTAGAAACTGGTTTCTACATAAAATGCACCACTTTTAAGAGACAACACATGATTCATATTAGTGAATGGATTGCACAGCTCCTCTCTCTGCCAAGAAATTGTGTGTTTCTGTACAGGAAACAGAAAGTGAGACAGACATGACTACAGTTCGCACAGCGAATGCCACAGAACACCCCTGCAGCCGGAGGAGACTCCCGTGTGGGCAGCAACAGCGGGCACACGTGTGCTGAGGACGGGACACAGGAAGAGGACAGCGTGCCCGTGGCCCTGCCCAGTCCCAGGGGGATGCCTGCTCCCACGGAGACACACTCAAACCCCACGGGGACACACTCGAACCCCGCGGGGACACACTCGAACCCCGCGGAGACACACTCGAACCCCGCGGGGATACACTCAAACCCCACGGGGACACACTCGAACCCCAGGGAGACACACTCGAACCCCACGGGGACACACTCGAACCCCGCGGGGACACACTCGAACCCCGCGGAGACACACTCGAACCCCAGGGAGACACACTCGAACCCCGCGGGGACACACTCGAACCCCACGGGGACACACTCGAACCCCGCGGGGACACACTCGAACCCCGCGGGGACACACTCGAACCCCGCGGGGACACACTCGAACCCCGCGGGGACACACTCGAACCCCACGGGGACACACTCGAACCCCGCGAGGCCCGGCCGGCTGCCCCACCCCAGCGCCACGGCCAGCCCGCACTCACCGCCCCGGGCCTGGGCGAGGGCACGGGCCCGCTGTAGCGCACCCACTTGGTGTGGGACTGCTCCACGGTGGCGCTCTGCATGTACTTCCCCCGGGCGAAGACCTCCTCGGCCGCGGACAGGCTGTAGGCGCACACGGCTGACAGCCCCACGTTGTTCCTGGGGAGAGGGCGGTCACCGCCTGCGGGGGGGGGGGCGCGCGCAGGGCCCGCCCCTCGCCGGCACTCACAGCTGCGGGGTGAAGACCCCGTAGAGCACAGGCTCCTGCAGGTCCGGGGCCCGGAGCACGAACACGGAGCGCAGCACGTTGAAGAAGAGGCTGCCGTCGGGCCGGCCGCAGAGCAGCCGGGCCTTCAGGAAGGTCGTCCACTTCTTCTGCAGGGTCCGCAGGCCGCCCTGGTCCCCCTGCAACCAGACGCATGGCAGACGCGCAGACCCACCGCGGCGGGCGCCCGGCCGCCGGCCCGGGCTGTGCCCGAAGGAGCCTCTGCACACAGCCCGCGAGCCCAGGTCGAGGGTCCCCCAACCACAGGACCCACCCGCTGGGGAAAGCCGCGGCCGCCACACGGTGCTGGAGCTGCGCACGCTCGGCGGCCGTGGCCCCGCGCACGGCCCGCCCGCCCGCCCGTGGCCGCCCGCGAGGGGCCTGAGCCAGGAGCAGCCACGCACTGGCACCCAGTCGCCCGAGGCCAGTGGGTGATGGTCTGGTCTTCCCCAAATGCTCCTCACGGGAGGGCAGGTCTGCACTCCCTCCCGACCCCCAAGTTTCCGCTCAGGGCTTTGGGCCCGCCAGGCTCTCCATAAACACGTCAGGGACCATCGCGCATCGCACCTGCGGCCACGGCCCGGACAGCGGTGCGGAGGGAGTGACGCGACGGGCCCTCACCTGTGTGGACGCAGGGACTCGGCCCGCCCGTCACCCGAGGGAAGCCCCGGCCCCCAGCCCGTGCCGCGCTGACACCACCTTCCGCTCCCGGGGGGCGGGGAGGGCGGGCAGACCCTCTGAGCCAGGAGAAACGGGAGCGGCTCACCTTGCACACCCGCGCCACCCGGGGGATCAGCAGCTTGGAGAGGAACTCGAACTCCACGGACACCTCCGTGAAGAAGAAGTACACCCGGTCGTCCCCGCCCTCCACGCCGTCCGCGCTCCCGCCCAGCACCTCGGCGTGCACGAAGCTGGGCTCTGCGGGGAGAGACCGCCCGGTTATTCCCCAACACAGGGGAGCCGGCCCCGCACACACACAGGTCCCCGCACACACACAGGTCCCGGCACGGCCCCGCACACACACAGAGGGACCTGGCACGTCCCCCCACACACACAGGTCCCCGCACACACAGAGGGACCCGGACATGTCCCTGCACATGTGTCCCTACAAGACATGGAGGTGCATGTCTTGCCCAAGCACTCGCAGGGTCTGGAGCGATGGGGTGCCCGTCTCGCCCTTCTCGGCCTCGAGTGCCCTGGCTGTGGTTCTGAAGCATCTCGCCGGACCCACCCAGAACACAGGCTGGGCCTTCCGCCTGGCAGGCAGCCCGGGCCGGCAGCCAGACCGCGTCCCACGTGCGGAGACCCCTGAGCAGAGGTGCATTTGCTGGTTAAACAGCTCGAGCCTCAGACTAACTCCCGCTCCGCTGCCCTGCCGCCCGCAGAGCCGCGCTGCGAGTCCGGCTGAGGGTCCAGGAGGCTCAGGGCCCCGGCTGCTGGCTGGCGCCCACCAGAAAGGCCTCGTGAGTGGCCTGAGCTATCTGCTCCACGAAGGTGACGTGGACACGTGCTGCCCGAGGTGACATGTTCCCATCCCATCCCAGGCCGATCGCCGCCTGAGCTCCCTGCCCTCAGAGCCCGCTCCACGGAAGCCGCTGCAGGCCGGGGGAAGGGGAGGCGGCGGCCTTATGTGGACGCCATGGAAACCCAAACCCCGGAGCTGGCTGCGCAGCCCGAGCAGGCCCAGGGCGCCCGCGCACCAGTGACGAGAGCGCGGGGCCCACGTGAGGTGGAGCGGCAAGAAGGTTCTAGAGATGCAGCGCGCAGGGCAGTCCTGGCGAGGCGGCTGCCGAGTGGACGCGCGTGCGGACCCGCCGCTTACCGTTGAGCCAAGGTATAGCGTACTCCGTCCTCAGAGGACTGTGGGAGGAGTTCCGGGAGATGATGGGCTCGCTGCCCAGGAAGTTGTAGGACGTCCCGGAGTACAGCTCCCCGTCTGGGCCCAGAGAGAGGCGGCGTCAGCGCGGTGTGGGCGCTCAGCACCTCGCTCCCCTCTGCCCTCCCCGCACCGAGTCTCCGGCTCCTGGTCCAACTGCGCTTTATGACCGGGATTCCCGGGGCAGGAAGCAGCTCAGGGACGGGCGCACGGGGGCCAGGGCCTCCCCCTCTGTGCGTCCCACCGGCTCAGCCACAGCCCTCTCCCCTCAGAGCGCACACAGCAGGAACAGCCGGGCTCTCAGCAATACGTTCAGGCGCCGAGCAGGGGCCCTCCAGAGACGTGGCGCCCTCTGAGCTCAGGCTCTGGAGGGGACGCAGAGGCGCCGCGTCCTGTGAGCCTGCTGCCGGCACAGCCCTGCCTGCGACGGGCACGACTCACCAACCATCACCGACGTGTAGCTCTGCGCCGGGTCGAAGGGACACCTTCCTTTGCCGTCTTCGTGTCTCCCCAGGAACTGAAAGGACGCCAGGTCCTGCAGGCGAATGGAAGGAAGTGTCACCGGACGTCTGCACCGTCACCGAGGCCGCTCTGCCGGCACTGCTTCCAGACCCGCCGTCCAGGCCCCGAGGGAGCGCACGCCAGCAGGACGGCGCCCGCTCCCGGCTCCCACACCCTCAGGGCCAGTCAGGGCCCTGCCCGCACCCCCGCCATGACGGTGTGCAGACAGAGGAGGCAGAGCCTGGAGGCAGAGCCGCCGGCTGGAAGGCAGCCCCTCGGCTGCCGGAGCCCCGCTCTTGGTGACGCTGCCGGGCCGGGCTCACCAGGTGGTCACAGGCCGGCTGGAAGGCATTGGTCCCACACACGTAAAGGGCAGTGGTGCCAAGCGGCTGGAGCACTCGGATGTAGTTGAGACATTCGGTCTACAAGAAAGAAAAACGCCCCGTTAACTGCCACCAGCTCCCTCCGGACGCCCCCGCATCGCACTGGTGGCATCGTGCACTCCCAAGCTCGGCACCCAGAGGTGCCGCCCCGGGCTCCCCGACACGCAGCTCTGCCCGTGCGCTGGCTGTGCCCTCGCACCGGCCCCGCCCTGCAGCGGAGGCAGAGCAGGCAGAGACCCGCCCCCCGGAGAGCCTCCTGCCGCTGGGCCGAGTGCTTCTCTGCAGGCCCGCAGCCGCGGCCGCGGCCAGGGGGCGGCCCTGCAGCCGCTGATTTGTATCCAGAGGAGAGAGCTGGCACAAAGCAGTGGAGCTGACCCTGCAGAACAGCGGTATGCCCACTGAGCAGACCACGCCCGGTGCCAGGCCCGCAGGGCATGCTGAGCAGGTCCTCCGCCCTCCTCTCTGGGGCCCCACCCTCCCGCCCCAGCCCGTGAAGCTGGAACCGGTGCTTAGGGTTGGGCTGTGTCCGGCTGCCCGGCCCGCAGGGCTCCGAGCCTGGCCCACACCAGAAAGGCCGCAGGGAAGCCGGGGCCACGTAGGAACCCACTCGCTATTTCAGTGCCATATGCTGGGGCTGTGTGTGCTCCCGGCTGAAATTATGCCCCTGGGGGAAGCTGCTCTGCGGCGACGGCCTTAGATCTGGTTGGAGTAATTCGTGCCTCCGGCCTGCGCGGGAGTGACCTGGCCGGCGGCCGGTGGGCAGGCTCCGCGGCAATTCAGCCTGAAGACAACGCCCAGGGACGGCCGGTGTCACCACGGGGCCCGCACTGCCCCTCGTTTCCCAAAGCAGCTCTAGTCACGGCGACTTTACTGACAGCACCCAGCATTTGCTAAAAATGTTTATGAAAAAATACTGGTCTTTTTACTTAAAAAGTTTCATTTTGAAAATAGCCAACAACTGCTGAAATTTACCATAACGGCTCACCAACTACCACAGCAGATGGGGCTCTGAGACCCCGAGACTGACACCTGCCCAGCTCCGGTGGGCGGGTAACCAGAGCGACGGGCACAGAGCACGCCCGAGCTCCCGCACGGCCAGCACACGGAGGTGCAGTGCCCCTGGAGAGGGCAGATCCCCAGGGGTGAGAGGTGCCCCAATCCAGGAATCCTATGGCAACCAACCCCTGGCACCAGAAATCCTTCCCACAGCCCAAGTCTCAGGCCCCAAGAGTAACTTCAATCAGTTAAACTCAAACCCCACTCTGTTTGCTTCTGAGGAACAGAGGGGTGGGTGAGCCGTGAGAGACCTGACTCAAGGCCCAGGCTGCATTCCAGAGCAGCAGTGTCAGCGGCCAGAACTCACCTGGGCTTCTGCAGCAAAAAAAAAAAAAAAAAAAAAAAAGGTACCTGTCTGGACTTCCCCTTTTCTGCGCATCTGGCTTGCTTGTCTTCCGAGACCTTCCAGTACGCCTGTGGGGGAAGGGGAGTCACTGAGGGCACAGCCGTCCGGAAGCCGACGCTGACACAGAATGCCGTTTATGAAGCCGCACGGCAGGGCCGATACCTCCAACACGGAAATCCGAGATGGCACGCGAGGCAGGAGCAGAGGCCGGGGAGGGCTCTGACCGGGACCCTCGGCTCCCAGTCCGCAGGGCCTGGAGGCCCTCCCAGGCCCGTTACTCACTGCCAGCAGCAGCAGGCCCTGCGCCACTGGACGTGGTGATTACACTTATCAACAAGGCAGACTGGAGGCGCTTCCAAGGAGGTTTCTCTTCTCCGCTACAGCGACTCCTGCGCTGCCTCCCTGTCCGCTCGGCAGATCGGTCGGCACGGCTCACAGGCCGGCAGCCGCGCCGGGCCGGCTCCTACCTCTCTCACCAGGCGGCCGGCGAGCGGGGTCCCTGGCCCTCCAGATGCAGAGCCAGGACCGAGGGCTCCCACCCGCCTCTCCTTTCCCGAGTGGCCCCACCTCCCCGAGTGCTATTCCAGGATTGATGCCAAATGCATGTATTTTCCCAGGGAATCAGAGCTGCGGTCCCGGCCAGGAAGCAGGCGGGCGTCCCGGCCCTGGGCGGCGCTAATAGCCGTGGGTCCCCGCAGAAACGGAGCCGCTCGGACACAGGGAAGCAGGACCCAGTCCATTTCCAACAGCAGCTTCCTTCAGCATGAGGACGCAGGTAACTTCATCACTGTCTACGGTAGGGGTGTCGAACTCAATCAGAGAAGGGGCCAAAATCTAAAATCCAGCCTAAATCGCGGGCCGAATGGTTTACTGAACAGTCATAAACTGTCATTGTGATGGAAACGCAGCGGAGTGCAGTGATGACAGCGCGGTGCGGGCCACATTGCAAGGCCTGGCGGGACGGATTTGGCCCGCGGGCCCTGTGTTTGACACATGTGGTCTACGGGAACGCAGGAAGGTGGGATGTGACCTCGCTCATGAGTGTGGCTTCTGCTTTTTCCTCTTTTGCGGAGAGGAGGCCCGGAGACCTGGAGGCCCAGAGGCCTCTCCCTCGCTCCGGGGCCACGGCGAAGCCACGCAGAGCGAGGCTGCTCGGCCCGGCACCGTGGGCACACTGCACCTCACTTGCGAAGGGCAGTGGCCAGAAGCTCCACTGGGTGTCTAACAGAGACTGGGCCAGGCTAGATGTGGAGATTAGGACAAAACAAAACAGAACGTACAGGGAGAGCTGTGGAGCAGGAAGTACACACACGGGACCTGGCCCCTTGGTGTCTGAGCCTGAGAAAGGTACCTCTCAGGCCAGGGGCTGCCCTGGTCAGGAGGGGGCTGTCTGGGCCTCAGGTGAGGTCCCGAAGGAATGCCGACGATCAAGGGCTTCAAACACGTTAGGGTTACCCTAAAACAACAACAAAAACTTACGGTCTTCCTGTAGAAAGACAGGACTAGCTGGCGACAGGCATGTCCTCTTTATTTATTAATTCTTTTTTTAGAGAGAGGGTACGGGAGAGGGACAGAGAGACAGAATCCTCGATGAGAGAGGAATATCATCGATCGGCTGCCTCCGGCATGCTCCCCTGCGGGGTGGAGCTCCCGGGTTGATGCTCACCCTCAGAGCCCCATGGGCCGGGCCATTTCCCCTTCAGAGGCCATTCCTGGCACAAACGGAGAGGGGGCCGGAAAGGCCCGTTTCTCAATCCCGGGTGCCCAGGAGCTGTGGCTGCAGTGGTGGAGGCCGCAGGGGCGCCTGCGGGGGCTCTGCCAGCCAGGGGCCCCGGGCGGCCGGGAACGGGCCGAGGACAGAGTGCCGGGCACGGCAGCCTGGTCACCACTGGCTCAAACCGAACAAACGTCACCATGAGCGCGTCTGTGGAGCTGAACAGGCTATGCGACAGCACTGCTGTTTGGCTGTGATCGTGGTATTTCGGTTATTTTGGGGAAAAAGGAGTCCTTCCTGTAGGTCCTAGGAGATGCCCAGGAGACACTTAGAAGATGAAGACTCTGTGTCTGGGTTTTGCTTCAAAGCCTCATGGAGCGAGTGGCGGGTGGGAATGTGGGGAGGACGGGCCAGCCCTGCCCCGGAGCGGGGTGGGGGGCTGGGGTGGGGTCCATCTCAGCTCTCCCTCTGCTCCTGTGCAGCGTGACGACGGTGCCTATAAGACCTTCAGACACCCCGCTGAAGGGGTGGTTCCTGGTGAGGATGTGGGGGACCCGAGCCGTGGCTGTGTGGACACAGCAGGAAGGAAGCTTCCGGATGGCAGGGCCCGCGGCCCACGGACGGGAGTCTGTGAGGCGCGCAGGGGCGGGCGGCACGGCCGGAGAGGGCCTGTGCCCGGGGGAGCTGTGTGCGACTGGAGGCAACAGCAGGAGGGTCTGCGGCCTGGACCGCAGGGCAGGTGCCGGGCCTACCTCGTGCCGCTTCTGGGAGACGTTGAGAGTGTCCACGGCGAACACAGCCTCCCGGGCGCCCACGTACAGGGTGTCCGCGTCCGCGCTCAGCAGCAGGGCCGAGTAGTTGAAGATGCCCGGCTGGTGGAACCGTGCCAGCTGCACCTCTGGGGAGAGCGGGCGTGTTAGGCGTTTCTGAGCACCTTCTCACTCAGGTGTGCCGCCTGGAGGGCCCAGGCACCGCTGGGCGGAGCAGACCGCGGGGGCGGCCACAGGAGCATGGACCCCGGAGAGGCCCGAGCCAGGCGCTGAGCCGGGCGGGTCTGGCTCCCTGAAGCCCGCGGTGTGAGTCCCAAACCGCGCCCCCGAGCCTCAGGCAGCGTCACCCCCAGGAGCACGCCCTCGACGTGGGCGCGTTCTGGGGGAGTGACCGCCACGGCGCAGCCTGGCGCCATGGCCGGCCACCTCGGGGACGACAGGCCAGGCCCCTCACGCTGACCGCGCAGCTCCCTCCCCCGCCAAACGCTAACCTCTGGTTAGATGCATACAGAATTTAACTGTTTAGGATTTTCTTTTTCTTAAAACCAAAAAGATCTACCTTTAATAAAATCCACTTCAATGAACATATCCCTAACCACGCATTGGCCAGGGACAACAGCACAAACTGCTAACTCCGGGAGGACCGGCACTCGCGCCTGCGAGGCCCGCTGAGCAGAGGCTGTGTGGAGCGGGAGGAAGGCAGGCTGGCCACCAGGTAACACTGTTTCCTCAGGGGCGGCTTCTCACCCACCCCAGCGCCAATGTGAGTGCTCTCAGCGTGGCTGTCTGCGTCATCATGCTCGGGTGTCACTCCTGAGCTAGGAGTTCACGCCTCCTGCTCTCTGAGACCGTGTGGAGACCGCGCACACGGATGGAGGCCCCCCACACCTGCTGCCCGGAGCCCTGGGGCTCCCCTCACTCAGCCGTGTGCCTGGAAAGCTGGGGTCCCGGTCCCCAGACACAGCTCCCAAGAGGAAATAAATGCGAAAGAACCCAGTAAACAGCAAATGGGAACCACTGGCCAGAGCTCAGCTGCACGCAGTTAACATCCCCCAAACAGGACCCAGTGTGGCTGGTGCCCGGGCCTTGGGCACTGACTGCCAGCAGGCACAAGGCGGGCTTCCTTCAGGCCCTGACTTAGAGACCAGATCAGCCGGCCCTGCAAGGCCATGAGCATTTCCAACTGCCGAAGCATCTCCCACCACGGCGTGCAGGCCGCCTGCTCACACACCAGGGCCAGAGCGCAGGGCCAGCGGCCAGCGGTGTGCACATGTGGGCACACACGTGGGCACCATGACAGACGCCGTCGGCACCTGCTGCACTTCTGCCCTCACCTGTGTGCTCCCAGGTGATCCTAGGTATGGGTGCAAACGCCACCGCTGCCCCAAACACCACGGCGAGGGCGGTGAGCGGCCCCCCGGTGCGGGCACACATCCTCCTGGCGGGGCGACAGGGCTTCCGCAGCGATGCCTGTGGGGGCGAGGCCACGGCGAGTGTCCGGGGGTCACTCACAGCCCCGGGGCCCTGACCCGCAGCCCTGCCTGGAGCTGACGGGCACCGTGACCTCTGAGGACCCACATTTCTCAGCACGCTTGGGGGTCAGGTGGCTCTCGTCTCTGCAAACGTCACGAGCCTCCTGTCACAGGCTTCTTTCCGACCTTCCGGAGAAATCTGGAAGAGAACAAAAGGGCTGCAGTCAGGACGCGGGGCCATGGTGCCTGATGTCTGTGCTCAGTGTCTCCCACCCCCGCCTGCGGGCTCCTCTGCGGGGTCTCAGGGAGCTCCGAGGGGGATGGGCACCGCACCCCAGGTGCCCTGGAGCAAAGCCGAGCTGCAGGAGTCAGCGCTTCCCGCCCTGAGCTGCCAGGAGGGCAGGACAGACAGGGGTGCAGACGGACAGATGCCGCCTGGCTGCCCAGCTCACGCGATGGGAGGAACAGAGTTTCTGTTTCCTCAGAGACTCTGGCCTCCCAGGTCCCGTGTGCTTCCAGAACGACAGCGGTGTGGAGAGTGAGGGGCAGTGGAGGCTGCAGTGTGGGCTGCACACACGGCTGCTGTGACCTCGCCCTCGGGGTGGGGTCCATCCCTCAGCCCTGCAGCAGGGGTCCTGGGCTGCCCTCACTGAGAAGCACCTCCCTGAGAGCACGGCCTGTGGGGCTGGGGTCCCCGCCTCCTCCACCCACACGCCACCTGCCCCCCAGCTGTCCGCGAGGTTCCCTGCAGTGAGCCGCAGGCCAGCGAGAAGGCCGTCCGGCGGGGTTTGCCCCAGGCCCTCCGGGACCCCAGTGGCACTCAGAGAGGGACCCCTGGCTTCTCAGGAAGGAGCTCCAACCCCACAGCGCCGAGCAGAGGCGGCCCCTTGCCCGGCACCGCGGGAAGCACGTTCAGTCACCGCAGAGCCACCCTCACTCATAGACACACTGCCCGGGTCTTCACGGCCCACCCTGCTCCCCTCCTCACCACGCCCCTCTCCCCAGATGGAGGGGCAGCCCCCCTCCCCTGGCGAGGCCCGGGAGCTGGCCCTCACCTCCCCCTTCTCTTCCTCCCACCCCAAGCCAACCCACGCCGGTCTGTCCCCTCACCCAGCATCACCGCCGGGCTCTGGACTTGGCCACGCCTCAGCGACAACCACGGGGCAGCCGGCTTCCTCACTCGCTCCCCACGGAGGCCCCACACCATCCACACACAGCACTAGTCCAGGCTGACCACCCCCCCACACACACACGCACACACACACACACACACACACACACCAGGCCAACCCAAACGTCCAGAGCGTCTGGGAGAAATTTTGGCTTCTGTTCACCCATTCAAGCCACTGCCTCCAGGAAGTCCTCCAGGGCCCTTCCCTCCTCCCACCGGAAGTGACCTTTCTGCTCCCCTACGCCCTCAGCGTCCCTGTCTGGCCCGAAAAGCCCAGCAGCGGGCTTACTAGGTCTTTCTTCTCTTTATTTTTACACGTGGACACGGGGATCAGCTCTGCTTCACGAGGGAAGCACTCATGGGGACTTACGCTGCCGGTGCTTGCCACTGGGGAGCCGGGGTCACCCCACGCCTCCTCTGCTCCCGCTGGCCTCGCCAGCCCCCTCTGCACTTCCTCCTCCCGGCCTGGAGGCCCCCGCCAGGCCCCGGCTTCTTTCCCCATCCTGACCACTCTCCACAGCAACTGGCACATACTGGGGGCGGCACCCCTTCCCCACAAAGGGCCAGAAGCATTCCGGCAGCTTTTCAAGTCCTGCAGTGCCGCCCGGCTCCTGGGCTGTGCACCAACACAACTACCACAGCCAGGGCCTGTGCACCCCACACCTCAGCCAGGCGTGCCCGCCCTCAGACGCCGCGCAGGAGAGGCGGGACGTGGCCGAGGCTGTCCTCTGCAGAGGGGCTCTCCCGGCCTCGGGCGGGGACCTGCCGTCCTGCGCTTTGCAGGGGAGTGCGGCACCAGGGGCTCCAGAAGCCGCCCGGTGAGTCTCCCGCACCGTGCTGCGCTTCCAATGTGAGGGCTCGTTAGCGACCCGTGTCCGAGGGCGGAATGCCCGCAGGAACCCCACACACGGCGCACAGACTCCGCACACACGGCGCACAGACTCCGCACACTGGGCGCACAGACTCCGCACACACGGCGCACAGACTCCGCGGAACCCGCACACACGGCGCACAGACTCGGCGGGACCCGCACACGCGGCGCACAGACTCTGCACACACGGCGCACAGACGCTGCACACGCGGCGCACACTCTGCACACACGGTGCACAGACTCCGCGGAACCCGCACACACGGCGCACAGACTCGGCGGGACCCGCACACGCGGCGCACAGACTCCGCGGAACCCGCACACACAGCGCACAGACTCCGCGGGACCCGCACACACGGCGCACAGACTCCGCGGAACCCGCACACACGGCGCACAGACTCCGCGGGACCCGCACACACGGCGCACAGACTCCGCGGAACCCGCACACACGGCGCACAGACTCCGCGGAACCCGCACACACGGCGCACAGACTCTGCGGGACCCGCACACACGGCGCTGTGAAAGAAAAGAGCCACATGCTAACCTGACAGGCTCAGGGAAGGCCTGTGTGGCAGTCTTGCAAACCCAGAGACCTAACATAACCACAAAGGATGGTTTGAAAATTAAATATCTAACGGGTTATAGTAGGTAGTCATGTCCCAGATATTTTCCCAAAGATCAACTTTGATCTTTTTACTGAGCCCATTTGCCTTTTGCCTCTAAGATAACACATCTGTGAGATGTCTGGGTAACTTGTAACTTCCCTTTTTCCGGAGCCCCTGGGGAACAACCAAATGTGGTGGGCGCCAGGACAGATGCCTCGAATTCCTTCTTTATCATGTTAATTGTTCCTGCACTCACCTGAGTACACGTCCATCATTTTACTTTTTATCCAATCCCAGGACTTTCCCACCGCTTTGCTTTCTCCCGCCTCCTTACTCCATCACCAATGAATTTCATGTAACCCACCTATGTCCCTCCTTTGATTTCAGTGTATAAATAGAGAAATGTAACCCGCCATTCTTCGGAGCATTATCTCAATCTGTTGAGGTTCTGCTTCCCAGCATATGTCGACAGTTTTGGCTCAAATAAACTCATAAAAAAAAATTCTTTACAGGTTTCAGTGGTTTTTTCGTTAACAGTGCAGACACAGGCCCCGCGGCGGCCTGAGCAGAGACGCCTGGAGCTCGGGCAGCGGTGGTGCCGCCTCGGCCATCCCAGGCCCTGCCAGCACCACCACGCCATCTAAGCAGTGCCCACCTCCGCCCGACCCCACCCTGCTCCCGTTCTCGCTGCCAGGGGCACCGATGGCGTTCTGTGCCCGCGCCAGGCCGCCATCTTCACTGTCAGTCTGCGGGGCCTGGGTGGGCGTGGCCAGCTAAGGAACCCTGGGCGCTGGCAGCTCTGAGCAATCACCTGTGGAGAAGTGCCGAGGCAGGAAGTGCAGGGACAAAGGAACTAGACGGGAGGAGGCGCTCTTCTCTCACGAACGGTGTAAACTTCTTCACTTTACATGACGTGCTTGGCGGCCGGGTGGCCCAGGGGCTGAGTGTCGACCCTGAACCAGGAGGTCACGGTTCGACTCCCGGTCCGGGCACATGTCCAGGTTGTGGGCTCCATCTCCAGGGTGGGGCATGCAGGAGGCAGGCGATCAATGATTCTCTCTTCTCATTGATGTTCTATCTCTTTCTTCCTCTCCCTTCCTCTCAGAAATCGATAAAGATAAAACCAATTAAAAATTTTCCATGAAAAAATCACGTGTCCTGATGGGGCCGGTAAAAATGAACTGAACTGTTAGGAGAAACACACGCTCAGGCTCTGTGCAGCGGGGGAGGCAGAGGCTCCCGGGACGAAAGCGCCGTCCGCACGGCCTGCGGGCCCCACGCTCCCAGGAACCGGATGACTGGCCGACCACAGCTTCCGGCTGCACAGCAGCCCTGACCAAAGCCCCAGGTGCTGGTGGAGGCAGGGTCTGCCGCCCCATGGCTGCCCACATGGTTGAGGAGAGAGAACATGTTTTCCTCAGTCGCCTTTCCCTGGGTGCTCCCACCCAGAGGCAGAGTTCTCTCTGCGCCCCGTCCCGCTCTGGCCACACGCCTCATCAGCGGGTGCCGGACTCCTGGTGGCCTCCATCAGACCCACCTCTCCTCCCCAGGCTTTAAACACCACCCCGGCAGGAGGGCCGGCCTGGGGCTGCTCGGCGGCTTATGACTTAGGAAGGGCTGATGTCTTCTATTTTCAGCCAAGAACGATGGTTTTGTATAATCTGAAACTCTGAGCAGAGCACAGCCCACACCTCCACGCACACGCCCCCACCTCGGAGGCAAGCACCGCGGCACAGACCTCGTATCCGTGGGCACAGCGGGAGAAGTCTGGGAGCTGCGTCAGCTCTAGCACTCCGCCTTCCCGTGTGCTGTCCTGCCTTTCACACGAGACGGGCCCACCAGGAGGCCAGGGTCACACGTCACCCCACTGCCCACCCCGAACGGTACTGGCTCAGGAGGAGGGCACGATCCACCTTCGATGCCAGGAACGCAGGCCCGAGGGGCTCTGAGCCATCTCTGCCGGTCACAGGGCAGCTTCCCACCAAATGGCCGTGGAGCACGCCAGGGGCGGTGGCGGGGGAAACATGCACCCAGCAAACAGCGAGCAGCAAGGGAAAGGGCTAATTCACCAGATGGCATACACACATGTCTGTGCACACACATGCATGTATACATGTATATATGCATCTATGCACACACGAGTTTCTGTGTTTATTTCCTTTTGAATAGGTATGACGTGTGTATTTGAGCACCTGCGCTTGTGTGTACTCGTGTACATTCATGCATGGGTTCATCTGTGCACACATGCACACATGTCTACATACATGTGTGGTATGCATGCACTCTGTTCTGATCAGCATACAAATTATGATCTGGTGTGATTAGATGTGACCGTGGACTGCAGGTGCTGTCTGGGGTCTGTCACCCCCGCCTTGGGCGTGCCTTCCCTTCCTGGACCAGCTGCCCGGGACAGGGGGGGTCACAGAGAGGACCACCCGGGACCACACAGGAGCGTCAGTGCTCCTGTGAGCAGCAGGATGCCAGCCAGTGCTGACGGCACCCTCACCAGATTCCCAGGGACCGTGAGAGGGGATCTGGGTGGCAGCGTGGGCACTGCGTGGGCAGCCGCAACGGCTGCTTGTCCGTGGCTTTCACACAAACCGGACGCTGAGCCCTCCTCCCCCGGCCACGAGGTGGGATGCGGAGGGCACCCGGCCACTCTTCCCCTCCCAGCTGGGAGCAGAGTGACGCAGCCGCCAGGCCCTCCTGATGCCACCCAGCCTGTCCCCACACGGTTCCCCCCCGCCCGGCCCAGGCTAAGGTGCTGATGTCACCGCCGCCAGAACCAGGATGGGTGTCAGGGGCTGGGTCAGAGGCCCCACCACGAGCTTGCTGTCCCAGCTGCCGTCTCCGCAGAACCGCGCAGACCCCGGAGCAGCACGCCAGCGGCCCGGGACGTGCCCTGCCCTGGAGGGGCCGGACTCACTCTGCAGAAAAGCCCGGACTCTGTCCCGGACACCTGCTCCCTCCAGCCACACCTCAACCAGACCCTCACCCGACCTGGCACACGTGTGCGTGAGTGCTGAGCGGAGCCGGGAAGGGTCAGAGGGCAGCAGGTGAGGGACGGACACACACTGACCGCTCGGCCATGAATCGACCAGCAGCGATGACGGGCAGGTGCTGAGAAGGGCATTCCCGGGGCAGCGGGACCCTCCCGGCCTGTAAGCTAACAGGCGTGGCACGCAAGATCCAGAGACAAATGATCGGGGAGAAAACAGGAAAAAGCCCTGGGATCACAAATGTCAGGCTGGGAACTCCTAGCTAATGCAGCGACCAGCACACCAGGCGGTAACAGAAGGCGGGTGTCTGTGACCGGCCACCTGACAGTGCCACGTTCCGGAAGTAAAGTGCATCTCGCCCGCCCGCCCGCCCGCCCACCGAACGGGCACGGCCCCGTGTGGCTTTCCTCCCGCTTTTACAAATTAAACTGGCATTTCTCTTCCCTCCAAAACCGCACACACATGGCTGACCAGGTATCACCTGACCAGAATGAAAACCAGTCACAAACGACCCCCGTCCGGGTGACCCTGAACCCTCCTCCTGCCCTGGCCTCACAGACGACCCCTGTGCCCCGAAGAGAAGGTGCCCATCAGGGTGACCCGGGGCTCCGGCTCAAGAGCAGGGGCACAGGCGGGGGCGCGGTCGGAGGGAGAAAAGCAGGCGATGCCGAGGCCCAGTGCCGGCATCCGCTGCCCTCGGGGCTCCCCCTCCGCCCCAGAGCGCGCTGTGACCAACAGCCAACGTGCTGCTGACCCTCAGCGAGACTTCCCCCGATGCCACCTCTGACTCACTGGACACAGACTGAGAAAAAGTGACTGTACCTGTGTCTGGGGTCTCGAAACTTCCCAGTCGTCTCTAGGAGGAAGTCTTCAGAAAGCTCTGCTCTGGAAAAAATGGGAAACAAGAACATTAAACACTCAAATTGTCTGTCACATAAATTCAGCACCCGTTCTGAAACGCCACGGAAAGGAAACCTGTGGTTCTTTCCAACTGCTGGGCCCCTGGCAGCCGACTCGGACCCAGGATCAGGGTGGCATTCGTGCGAACAGGAGGGCGTGAGTGTGCAATCACCCTCGGACACACACGCGAGTCGCTGCTCACCGGGTAGAGGAGCTGGTCCCCCATGGCTGATGGCCGCCACTCAGCGCTGAGCCGCGGTCCCAGTCATCATCAGAAAAGGAAGCCCTGACCTTCCACAGGCTGCAGGGCCAGTGGCTGCGGAGCCAGCCGCAGCACTCACCCTCCCCGGCACCGAAAGGCGGAGGCGAAGCAGGAGGAAGCAGGACACGCACACAATGTTGAGGAGGAGGGGACTTCCTGAGCCTGCTAGTCCCACCTCCTGCTGCGCTGCCGCCTGGACCGGAGGGTCTCACACTGAGCAGCGAGTTTCCTGGTGTTTGTTGGTGGTCCCCGCGCCCCTGCAGGGTCAGACGCCTGGAGGCCGGGACACTGTCTGTGGCAGCAAACGATCCTACAGATTTTTAAACTTCAGAATCAAACTCCAGAGTTTTTTGTAGTTGGAGCATCACCTTCTTTTCCTTAAGACAGTGGTTCTCAACCTTCCTAATGCCGAGACCCTTTAATCCAGCTCCTCGTGTGGTGGTGACCCCCAACCATAACATTATTTTCGTTGCTTCTTCATGACTGTAACTTTGCTGCTGTTATGAATCGTAATGTAAATATCTGTTTTCCGATGGGATTAGGCTCTACAGCAGCGGTTGAGAACGGCTAGCAGGGTCGCCTAAGACCATCGGAAAACACAGATATTTGTATTACGATTCATAACAGCAGCAAAGTTACAGTCATGAAGAAGCAACGAAAATAACGTGGTTGGGGTCACCACCACATGCGGAGCTGGATTCAAGGGCATCAGGAAGGTGAACCACTGGTTTAAGAGCTTCTGCAATCCTTGCCATTTCCCTGAAGACAACCGAGAAGTAGGGGGTCCCCACTCTCACACACCCACCCACAGCACACAATTTCCTGGGTCACCGGGGCCTGACATGCTCCCCGAATCCTGAGCAAACACCTCAGGTCAGCAAATGAGACCCCAAAGAGGCAGGTGGGAATGGTTAGGACTCGCCAGGACTTGCCTGGCACCCTGCAGGAGGCTGCTTCTGAGCCACGTGTCAGCAAAGCGGCCTCCCGCCCGGGTAAGCAGGGCTGTCTGGATGAGGCCCTGTCACACAGCACAAGGAGCACATGGAGCACATGGAGCACACACAGCACATGGAGCACACACACAGCACACGGAGCACACATAGCACACTAAGCACACAGCACCCGGAGCACATGGAGCACACGGAGCACACACAGCACATGCAGCACACACAGCACCCGGAGCACATGGAGCACACACAGCACACGCAGCACACACAGCACACGGAGCACACGGAGCACATGGAGCACATGCAGCACACACAGCACACACAGCACACGGAGCACCCGGAGCACATGGAGCACATGGAGCACATGGAGCACACGCAGCACACACAGCACACGGAGCACACACAGCACACGGAGCACACGGAGCACAGGAAGCCCGTCTCCTGTTTCTCCGCTGTGGAGGCGCTGGCTTAGCGGGTGGACACGTGGGAACCTGAGAAACCATGGTTTCCTGTCCCCCGGGGGGGGGGGGGGGGGAGGCGGCCGGAAACGCTGTGGGAAGAAGGGTGGTTCACGCCAGAGAAGAGGTGAAGGTAGACAACACCAAAACCAAGAATCACAGAGGAACCGTCTCTTGGGAAGGTCAGCGAGCCTGGGCTGCTCTCACAGGAAAAGCCCAGCTGCTGGCTGTGCGGCTGGACAAGCACGCACCCACGGCGGCAGGTTAGCCTCACTCAGCACCGGCCCCGCACCCCGTTCCTCCTCCGACAAGTCCCCAGGCCCCCCCCCCCCCCCCCCCCCGCCAAGCAGCCCTGGCCCCGTGGTTCGGGGTGCAAATACACACTTCCGGCTTCAACCGACCACAGAGGCCTCGGCCCACTGTCTGCAGCCTTCATCAGCACAATCTTCTTCCTCCTCAAGGTAACCACGAGCTATAATTAGTTTTCTCTCCACTAAAGACTGCAAAGTACGCATTTCTCACACAACTAACACCACGTAGCTTTCACCAGGCTGTTCCTAATTTAGCCTGGTGTCTACTACAGAATGCAAGGTCCATTTGCAAAACAAAGGAATGAAATTAAACCAGGAAATAAGTGTTTCCCTCTCCAGGTTGAGAAACATGCCTCTGTCAGCAGGGAGCGTGGGAGCCTCAACGCCCACACTGGCGGCCACTCCGGGCAGCACAGCCAGGTGAGCGGGCCTTTGCCTTCTGGGCATCTTTCCCGAGCTCTGCAGGGGCCTCCCCTCTGAAGGCCCCTTACCCGCAGCAGCCAGGTCTTCGCTTTCGCAGGCAGAGAAGGCCCAGGTGGGAATGACCTGGGGTATGGGCCTGGCTTCCCCTGACCAGCTGTGTGTCCTTGGGGAAGTTCACGGGCCTCTCTGTGCCAATTTCCTCATCCAGAAAGTGGGCATGATAACAGTGGCCATGACACCTGCTGTTCTGAGCACCGGAGGGCCTGTGAGGAGCTCACAGCAGCCTCTGGCCTGCAGCCCTGCCAGGCACCTGCCCGCCCTTGCTAAGCCGGCTCCGCAGGGTATAAAGCAGGATTGGCTGCCACACCTTAACCCCTCTTGGGGCTCCACCAGGTCCCCGCCCACGGTAGCTCGAGCTCAGTGCCCAGAGCCCCCAAGCCCACGGGCACACTGCATTATGGACCGGGAGGCCTCAGGCCCCTTCTGTCCAACCTCCCAGCCCAGACCACCCACAGGGGCCCCGTCAGGGACACGGAGATCCTCAGAGCCAGCTGACACTCCACCCCGCTGGCCTGTGTGGCCGAGCTGGACCTTCCCGCAGATGCCACCCCACCTCGAAGGCAGCACGAGACAGCCGCCATCGGTGCGCAGAGAGAGGCTCCCTGCCCGGGCACATCCTGGCGGCCTGGGCAACGCCAGCAGGAGCCTCTGCCCCAGCCATTCTCTGTCAGGGACCAGGGTGGACATACTCCACACGTGTGTAAGATACCCAAGTTCACGGAAAACTGGAACAACTAGAGGCCATTTCTGTGTGTGAGGATGTGTATGTGTGTAGATATACACACACACACACACATACACACACTCACACGTATAATCCTATTAGTAAAAGGTTAGTATGCAAATTGTCCCCTCAACCGGGAGTTCGACCAGCAGGCGGGGCCAGCTGGCCAACCGCCTTTGGCCCCTCCCCTCCAGGGGTGTCGAACTCAATCAGAGAAGGGGCCAAAATCTAAAATCCAGCCTAAATCGCGGGCCGAATGGTTTACTGAACAGTCATAAACTGTCATTGTGATGGAAACGCAGTGGAGTGCAGTGATGACAGCGCTGTGCGGGCCACACTGCAAGGCCTGGCGGGACGGATTTGGCCCGAGGGCCTTGTGTTTGACACATGTGCCTCAACCCACCCGGCCTGATGGGCCCAATTGGGATGGGGCGGGCCGGCCGGACCCCACCCATGCACAAATTCATGCACGGGGCTTCTCACAGATAAGCACATTTTTTATGTATGAATTGTGGCACATCCTAGGTTAGAATACCATGTACTGTTAAAAAGAATAAAGCAGCTCCTGAGATGGAAGGATGTCCAGTAAAAATCCATGCTCTCAGCGGTGCCACAGTGTGTTCCATTTGCACAGGCACGTGGCGTGACCTTCTGTGCAAGCCCACACTTCAAAGGCACCAAGTGACAAGGTCGCAATCTAACCTGGGCCTGCTGCCGCTGACAGTGGCTCTGGTCTGGAGTTGGAGTGTGCTTCATTTTTTACTGTTCGCATGTTTTAGTACTACCGTGTTTCCCCGAAAATAAGATATCCTTCGAAAATAAGACCTAGCGCAACTTTGGGATAAAAAATTAATGTAAGACAGTCTTATTTTCAGGGAGACAGGGTATCTGAACTCTTGCCTTAAGCACACGGTTTCCTAATTAAGTTATTTTCAACCTGATATTAAAAGTAAGTTACTTTAAGTGAAAAAAAAAAACTTGGAAAATACAGAGAACACATTTCTGACAATTTCAAAAAAAAAAAGGGCTTTTATAACTTTATTATTAATGAGAGGCCTGGTACAAGGATTCATGCACATTGAAAGGAAATTAATGAGAAGAACTATTTTAGAGGCTGGGGAGGGACTGCGGGAGATTGGCCGGCCGAGAAGGGACCGCAGGAGGGTTCCAGGGCATGTCCGTCCCATCTCGCCCAGTCCCAACTGGCCAGACCCCAGCAGCAAGCTAACCCTGGTGGTCAGTGCATGTCATAACGAATGGTCAAATGGTTGAATAGTTGGACAAACGGTCGGGCAGTTAGCATATTAGGCTTTTATTATATAGGATATTTATAAATTTAATTGTCATTTTTAAGTTTATGACATGAATTTCATCACAATGGAAGTGTTGTTTTTTTCCCTATTCTTTTTTTAAAATTTTATTTTATTGATTTTTTACAGAGAGGAAGAGAGAGGGATAGAGAGCCAGAAACATCAATGAGAGAGAATCATTGATAAGCTGTCTCCTACACACCCCCCACTGGGGATGTGCCCGCAACCAAGGTACATGCCCTTGACGGGAATTGAACCCAGGACCCTTCAGTCCCCAGGCCGACGCTCTATCCACTGAGCCAAACCGGTCCCGGCCACAATGGAAGTTTTAACAGCAGACAGACAACACCATCTCTGGCCCTTCTGCGGTTCTGTTGGGACTTCTCCTTCTAAATAACTGGAACAGTGTGTTCACTCACGACCACCTCCAGGGGGCGGGGACAACGTGTGGTGCACAGGACAGGCCCTGGGGAGGCAGGCAGCACACAGG